ACTAGTTTGTTCATAAGTAAAGTAGTAGTAAAATATAGTCAAGTTATACCCTTTTGGTTCCATCATGTGCATGGTATTGAACCACGACCACCGAAACTTATGGAATATGTCTAGTCCTCTGCCCGATTTATTTTTCTTAATGGTGAAGCAAGAAGAGGTTGAGTCACTCAAACTTATGGAACATGCTCAGACCCCCTCGTCCAAATCCAAACGAAACTGAGAAAAAACCAAAATAAACAAGGTAACCAAGTCACCCAAACTTATGGGACAGTGCTTGGTCCCCAAAGAGTCATCTACAAATAGCCCTCGCAAATCAGAGCAACCAGACCACCAAAATTTATGGAACATGTCTGGTCCGCCAGACAACTCAAAAATAAACATAGCACACGACCTCCCCAAACTTATGGAGACTTGCCCAGCCTTCGATCAACAGAAAAATTTCCAAAATTAAATAATCGTTCTATAGTAAAATTACATTCTTAAAAATGTCATTCCAATTTTAAAAATTTTCGTCTTACTTGAAAATTTTACTTCCAAGAATTGGGTATCCCTTCTTATTTAAACTGCATGTTAGAGATGGAATGAAAGTCTGGATGAGTTCATGAAATATTTAATTGGACTGTCATTTTAAGTAAGGATTTTAAGTCATAAATGGGTTGATCCAATCTAAATTAGAAGACATATGTTGTAGTAGAATGAAAGTTTAATAAAAACATTTCATAAACTCGTTCGGATTTTCATTTCATCTTAAACAAATAGATGTAGTTGGAAGGAAAAGTTCATATTTAGACGAGAACTTATCAAATAAAACTGAAAACTTTACCATTGAACGAACATTGGAATGATAATTTATAAATATGAAGGATTTTTTTTATGGAATGTTTTTTCAACTTTCATTTCTCGTTGGAATTTTTCTGTTGATGGACCTAGTCAGACACAAACGATATTGCCCTCCTCCCATTCTTTCCCCAGATGCAATCCCTTTCCACAATCTGCTTTCAGTTAGTCGACAAAAATAAAACTGACATTGCGCATGCCTTTCTTTATTTAAATCTGGTTTAAGTCATGAAAGTCAAACTCAAAGTCAAAGTAGTGGTGCACACAATATACTCAGTCAAATATTGCAAGAAGTACGAATACGGGTTATAACTGGGTTTTTAAAAGGAGGATGAAATCGTTATCTCTCTGTTCCCTGCCTTCAGAACTCCTCGGTTCCGGTAGAGCTCCTACAGTCGGTGGGATGACTCCCCACAAAGTCTTGTTGAGGTCCTACGTGTTGCAATCCCGCCTGCCGCCTTCCTCTCTGAACATGATTAGACTGATAGTAAGAAGGGTAAAGTATAAGGGGTTTCAGATACTCGAGATACAAGAAGAGGCCAACTCAACTCCCATGAGAGGACCTTGATACTTTCATGCGCTTGAGGGCCCCCAAATGAAAGCCAAAGTGCAAGACAGCTTGGCCTGCCAAAGTCAAACTTTCAACTGCTAACTTTCTGACGACCCTCCTGCTCACTACAACCCCCTCCTTTAAAGAACTCAACTACCCTTCTAAGCTCACAACCCCAATTCTTGTTAGCTATGCAAAAACCTGCAACCTCTTGACTTATCTGTTACTGCACAGCCTGGCCGAACGAGGGGCGTGCCGGCCAGTTGACAGGCCTACAATCTCGGCGTCGGTAAAACTGCAATCTCCACAGTTGGTCTCTTAACTGATCCGGCGAGCAGTATACCAGCCAAGCAGGTAAGTCTACAGTCCCCCCTCGTCGCTATTCTTGATCAATAAGACGATCAGTCTGTTCCTCAAACAAGTCTTTATCTCGTCGGTTTTCCCCGTCGTAATGAGCAAAACACCAGTTGTCTGGTGAGTCTTCAGCCTCTGCTGTCTGCTCGTCAATAACTTCATACAGCGGTTATCAGGTAAGCTCCCAAGTCGGCGGCCCTCCTGCTGTTACTTCATTTGGTGAACTGAGTGGTGCCCCAACCCTTGATGCATCTGGCCCAAAACATCAGTTGGAGGCACGCTTTCCACTCGTTACTACCCCCGTTCCTTCTAACGCATTTGTCCGACCCCTTGACTAGGTTCAATCCGTCCTAGTGGGCACAGCGACGACGAACGGCTACTAGCGTGAAGGAGGTCGAGATGATAAGTACGAGCATCGCATTGGGCAAGACTGACTTATGAACAAACAAGCAAGGAAAGCGGTACGAATCTTCGGCTAAAGCATAGGAAGGTACATCACGCTATGTATGTGTTCCTCCCTCTCTCATTTCGCTGCGCTTGCCCCGGCTGCCTGCCGCACACACTTCCTTCGATGGGGAAGTAAAGTCCGAATGAATCTTTCGTTTGATCGTGGAAAGATACACCTCCGCTCTGAAACCCTTCCCGCACATTGTAGTCAGGTAAGTACCTTTTTTTCCACCTCTCCCCTCACGATCCTTCCTTCATTCATCACTCTCATCCCTTGGTTCGATCATACAGTAAAGCTCATGCCTCATTAGGTATGTCAAAAAGAGGATGAGCCTTCCCCGAAACATGGGAAGGTTCTCACTACTTCAAAGTGACCTTCCACTTCGGGCGCAACCTTAAACCTATCGTATCTCAAGAACCAACCACTAATACCGCAAACTAACACCATAGTTCATCTCGCCTCCCTAAAAAACATATGATTTGGATTTAACCCTTCCAGAATCCATTAAGGAACAAAAATGTATGACTATGTTTTGCCTTCTTCTTCGTCTCCCTCGTTGATGTCTCCGCACGCCCCTTTCCTTCTCTATCTCCCTATCCAGTATCTTTCCTACTAATCTAACACCAGATTCGGATCCGCCTACCTCCAAAACCCCGATTTCGACCTTTGATTCGCCCGATTACATCAAGAATCGGGCGAGAACTGTGTTCTTCGTTCTGCCATAGCCACTCCTACAATTGCTCCCGCATACACTTTTTTCCTCACTAACTTCGCTTCTACTAACTTTTTAACTAAACTGACTTCAAATTTATGTCTGGCCCAACTTAAACCCTCGGAAGCGGTTTTTATTTTAGTGGAGAGAGAGAGAAAGAGAGAGAGAGAGAGAGAGAGAGAGAGAGAGAGAGAGAGAGAGAGAGAGAGAGAGAAAAAAAAAAGAGAGAGGGGTTGAGACTAAAACAAAATAATAAAATGAATGTCAAAAATAAACATTGTGCACAAATTTTTGCCTGCTCACAACCATAAAGCTCTCCCCCCCAGACCGACCTCATCCCGTTCAAACCTCCTCACTGTATAGTTGTCATTATTTAAAAATTCATCGACACATTTATTGACTCTCCATAAGACGCAACACCTCCCATCTGTCAGTGTGAATACCCTTACAAGGGTATCCGCTCTGGTTTTTGCAAAACGACAGAAAATAAGTTTGGTTTAAATTTTAAGTATACCACATGAGGCGCAACTGAGTCTATGGTTCACCTTGGCTGGATGGTTGGCTAGAGTAGAGAGTGTGTAGGCGCGCAGACTTAAGGCGCGCATGATCTCTTTTGCTTTTAATGATGGTGGAAATCGGCGTTGATCGCCGACCAGATTTTTATTTTTGATTAAAGTAGGATTAAACAGATTATGTCTCTTGATTGGTGCGTTTGTCCGTGACTTTGCGTTCGCGTGGAGGACGGCATTGGCAACAATGTGATTTTGGAAACATTTCGATAGGTTTGCGCGTCGCACAACATCAGTTTATTTAGGCGTTCATCAAAACTAGACTCAACTTGAACCTACTATTAGTTACGGTGTCAAACTTTCAATCGGGAGTTTCAGGGATCGAGATTGAGCGGTGATGACACAAGATATCATAATAACGAGAAGGGACCGAGGAGTTGAGGGTCAGGCGGGGCTATCCCCTTTGGTTTTGCCATCGACGACATCATAACAAGGCTAGCATTTTATTTTGTTAATTATTTTATCATATTATTATTAATCCTTGCTCCGGCGTCCTTTTGACTTGGACAAGACGCTGGATTTAGAGGCCGTTGCGACAGTTAAGGGCTTTGAGCTTGCGTGTCTAGGATGCTGGTTGAGGCTCTTGGTCCCACCGTCTTAAGGCGTGGGCCATAGAGGCCGACGTGCATACGAGTTGGCGGGTGATTAGCCCATGAGGAGGACTAAGGAGTGGAGACCTTGGCAAGCACGCCGTCCGTCGAGCATCAGTCTGTCGTGAGAGTTTGAGTATGAGCATGCCCCTTGGGACCCGGAGAGGTGGTGAGCCTTGTCCGGACGCAGTGGAGTGCGCACAACAGGAAGGGGGTCGCGGGTCTGCAGGAGTTTGTCATAAAGGACCCCTCGCCACCTCCGATCTCCAAAAGTTCTCATAAGAACAGTTGCTACTACTACCAAGATCTGGGTCGGTGGCTGTATCATCTAGGCTTATGCTGCAAATGCCATAGCAGACCGGGGACCGCCCCCACAATATGCCCCGCGTGGATTCGAATCACTCAAATGCCATCCGCCTCTCAGAACGACTGGTTCGGCAGGGGGGGTCACAACATACTCGTTGGCAGATTTGGCCTGTATCACTATTCCCCTGCTGCTTGTATCAGTTACAGCAGTTCACAGTGTTTGGGTCAGCGCACGAGTTTGCGCAGGCGGATATATATATATATATATATATATATATATATATATATATATATATATATATATATATATATATATATATATATATACCGGGCAGCAGAACTGCCCCGTAAACCGTTGGCAGAGAGAGAGAAGATATATATATATTTTGGCAATCGTGAAGAAGGTATGAACCCAGATGTGATTTTGCGTGAGGGGTGTTCACGAGAAAGAATGAGATAGTGAAAGAGGAAGGAGGAAGCATATCGTGCTCGTTCCTTCACGGAATCGAGTAGAGTGAGGTGGTAGTCGGGAGGTTTTAGGTAAGGCGACCCCAGATTAAAAGGAAAGTCGAGTGAAGGATTGGCCCGCTAGGAGTAAGAACAAGAGTGAATTGCGCTCTGGATCTCGAGAAAGGCTATGGTACGGTCAGTTCTTCGTGGAGACGAGGTGAGAGGGGCGTCATTCCCAAGACTTTAGGCCAAGGTGAGCGTAAAATTGTGGATTGAATCGGGCAGAGAGTTAGTAGGAAAGGAGTGACAACGAGGGAGACATGCACGGAGATGGAGGGAAAGGAAGAGATGGCGACGACTGAAAGGACATAGCGCCCTTAATCCCTGACTCATTTAATCCTATGTTTTGACGTGGAGGGGGGGGGAAGAAGGGGAGGGTTTACAATTTTTAACTAAGACGCACATAACTTATTTTGATTCGTATATGGGTCGATTTACCATACATTTGTGCATACCTTATGCAACAATAAACAAGTAACGTGCTTGGTTGATTGAACTTCAATATGATATATGAAAGTAGTCATAAGTTGATTTGTAGCTCAATATGAATATGCCCCTTAAATTAATAGTATACGACCTCATAAAAAAACTTATCACATAATCTGACAATTTCAATGCTAAAAAAAATATTGTAGTGCAAAGGGGAAAAAAGTTGGTAGGCCTAAGAAAATGGGGTAGATGGTCTGCAATATGTCTTGCTAGCTTATGACGTGTACACATTTCATATACATGGACACACAGGATAAATATATAATGCTATGTTGTATTGAAAGGTTTTAAACGTAGAAAGAAACAAAATGAAGTTTCATGACATTTTTATAGTAACATATTCAATCAATGTATATAATTGCACTTACGGTCATCTCGACATGAATTTGAAGACACTCATATTTCGAGCTTAAAATCTTTCGTTGGTTATTTTGTGTTTTCTTTTGTTATAAAAATAAAAATTTTGATTTATTTTTTTTATATGACTCATCGAGAGAGGCGGTGAACAATTGATTAATCGCAAACCTTTTCTACTGCATAGCATCCTCTTTAATATATATGGATGAGGAATGCATAAAATTCTCTCTAATTTTCTTAACTACCTATAATAGAGAGACTTTTAATTTCTTATTGTTTATAATCAAATTTAAATATTAACGACTATTCACTTTAGAGTAGACATTCACCATACTAAAAGCAAAACAATATATATTTTTTACTTTTCTTTACGTCATGTTAGTATGTTTATAGAAAAAAATTTTGATTTTTATTTATATCACTCCTTGATATAGACGATAAACAATTGATTAATTGGAAACCCTTTCCGTTTCAGGGCATTATGTTTGACGATGTATGAATGTGGAATGCATAAATTTATCCCTACGACCAGGGTGACCGGCGTTCGGGACGGGCCGAACGCCTGAACCTGAACGCCCGAACGTATGGGACCCCTTGGGGATGCGTTCAGTCATTCGGGTCGAACACGGACCAAAAAAAAAA